ATTAAAAGACTAAAATGGCAAAAAGGGTTTAAACTTTTGTTTAAGCTCACTTAAAAGCAAAATAAATAGAACTGTTTTTGCTGCTAACAATTAAGTTCATGACTTACAGAATTTAACTGACAAGAGACCGAGAGATTCATGAATCTTCTACTTTACAAAATTCTCTTTTCATGAATTTAACTCGTTCACATCTTACGAAACCTTAAGCATGAAATATCCTTAAATTTTAAATCCGAAATTAAAGAGAGGGGTATAATCTTATACCTCCTTCGGGAATGAAACGGGAACGAAAAAAACTGAAACGAAGAGTCTCGGACGTTGGGTTTCGGCCTCGGCTCTTACGACGGCTATCCGCTATGCTGATCGAACGAACAGGGCTTCCCGAACGGGATTGCTGCAGTTACGCACAAAGGCGGGGACTGCTGTTGCTGCTCGACCGCTGAGCAAAGGCCGACGGGGTGCCGCTGCTATTCGGGCCGCTGAACGGAGGCCGACGAGGGTGCCGCTGGAAAGTGCCGGCGAGGCCTCACGTCAAAGGGGCGAGAATAGGTCTACTGCTTGCTGGTCACTTTGCCGGCGGAGGTTAAAGGCTGCGATCTGATGATGGCAGAGGCGATGATGAAGAGAAATCTCTTCTTCTCGATTGAATACGGCGGCGAACGAAAAGAAAATATGCTAAGGCTGACCCATTCACGCACAAAACATGCCAACAATTCTAAGGATTTATTTGATTTCAATTCAAAATAATCAATGGCCTTAATAAATTATTTAAAGCAGCTAAATTGATCTCATAAGGGCCAAATCATGGAGCTGAAAATAAGACTATAACTTAGTCTCGGAAAATTTTGTGTAGTCGAGCAAAAATAAATTCGACGACAAGCAAACGGCTAGAAATAAACGGCTCTAGCTTAATTGGGCAAATTCAAATACTCGGCTAAACTCTGAAATAATTTAAATTGACGACAAGGTCTAAATAAATTATTTATCTCAAATGATTAAAATAGACACTCACGTCTAATTAACTAAATTTACAGGTCGAGCTAAGAAAATAAAATGCAATAAAATGCATAATAGAATAATAATTTGAGATGTCTACTGAATAAAAATCGGGACGTTACAGGTCATAACCGATTAAAACCGGTTAGAACTCATATTCAATCGACGCCAAACCGGTAAACTGTAAATGTCTTGAACCGGCGTTTGAAAACCTGAAAAGCACCAGGACATGTTTCTCGACATATACACATTAATACTCAATTTAATTATTGGTAAACAAACCGAGTCGAGCTATCTATAGAACTGAACCGGTAAGCCGATTTGTTGTTGTATCATGTTACTTCAATTAATAATTTAGCTTGGATAGTCTAAATTAAATATTTTACGCTTTTTAATCTCTTCAAAATCTACCAAATATTTCATAATATTTCATATTTATGTTGCTCGTAATCCAAAAGCAAGATAATAACAATTCCTCTTTGGCAAAACAAATATATTTCACTTTATGGTCAAACAGTATCACAATAATTGTACAATTTACACTATTACAGATTACACAAATACCACAACTTTCACGATTATAAAAGGCAACACCTCATATATTTAAGTACAACCAACACTACCAAGATCTCAATACACGAGATCATACAAAATACATGCTGCAAAAAACGCAATGGCTTGCTCAAATTTAAGAAACACGATTTTGTTCGTCTTCATTATAGCCAACCTTATTCATACACCATTCGCCTCTTCTCTCGAGATCAAGAAGAAATGTTTCCTAACCTCGAAAGTCACGGTTCACGTGGCCAACTTGCTATCTGTGAACGAACCGTTTCTACTGCACTGTCGCTCGAAAGACGATGATTTAGGAATAAAGACGATTGATCAAAATCAAGAATACAGGTGGACTTTCTGCACTAATATCTGGCACTCTACCAAATTTTGGTGTACTTTTCAGTTGGGACTAAAGCATCAAGTGATTATGGCGTACGAGGAGGCAAGGAGGGAGTACTGTAAAGACAATCAATGTTATTGGTCTGCAAGAGATGACGGAATATATTTTTCCGACACTAAGTATTATGATTGGATCATTGGATGATGATGATGACCGATGAACTATCTTATATATGTTTACAGAAAAAGTATTTTAAAGATATGTATGAAATAGAAGTTGCAATCAATTAGATATAAATTATTTTTCTTCTGTTTGTTCGAAAGATGCAACCTAAATGAAAAACAAAGTTATATTCCTCAAAACTCCGATGGGTTTGGCTCATTTACATACATACATACAATCATAAAAGTCGAACCACTCGGTCGGATGTTGTAGCAAAATGGGCAGTATCCCAATATATAGCATGTTATTACATCCATAAAATGAACAAAGGCAACAACAAAAGCCATCAAATCCTAAACAAAACACAAACCTCGAATGGTGACTGTTCAGAGCACATGCTACTATTACTATTAGCCTACTGATCTAAAACTACAAGGTGTCTGAAAAAACATTTCACTCGGGTCTACGCATTTTGACATTTATAGGTCTTTCTTTGTATGACTGAATTTTTTTGGCAGCCAGACGAGATGGTCTGCTTAGAGATGATCTCCCGATTTCTGGAGGTTTATACTCAAAACCAGAACCGCCTCTGTTATTATCATCATCTGTAGCCGATCCATTTCCAGAATTTGATCCATTTTCCAGGACAGTTTTTTCATCAGGCAAGGCACATTCGAGAAATCTGATCTCGTCTTTTTCTAGTTTATCCTCCGGAGGTTTTAGTTCTGAGGCATTAAACCTGGCAGATTGTCTCCTCACAGAGAGCCTGGACATAATATTAAAGAAACAAGGTTTCAACCAAATAACGATGTTTCGTGTATTTAATATAACGAAAAAAATAGAGGCAATTGATTTGGTGAAATTCAGTGCATCACACAATTTACATATAATTTCAGAAAGGACAAAATAAGGAAAGAAGACACTCACACACAAGCACGCACAAATGAGAGAAATTATAACAGTAAAGGGAAAAGACAGAAATCTAGAAACTCGGTATACTGAAACCAATTTGGAAGACTGGTGCTTAGAAAACGAATGAGAGTTATTAATATATAACTTTCTGGAAAGGACATTCAATCTGAAGAACTGGTAATAAAGTAACTACGGACTACAAAGAGGCCATTTGTACATACAAGACACTAATAACAATTTATTTGAGATGATGAGGGATGAAAGAATGGACAAAGTGCAGATAGACTGATAGAGGATCAAAAGATTCGGCCAACTGCGTCTTATGTATTATTAATTGAAAAGGAGAGAGGGAGAGAGGGAGAGAGGGAGAGAGGGAGAGAGGGAGAGAGAGAGAGAGAGAGAGAGATGGGGGGGAGAGGGAGACAGACCTTCTATTTGGGGCATTCTCAGATTGCAATGACTCGGAAGAGCTGAAACCTACAAATGATGCCAAGTAAATGAGGCTTCAATTCAAAGCAATCTCTTGAAATAATTTGAGCAAGACAAATCCAAATAGAACACTCACTCTGTGATCTTAATCTTTTTGCATTACGACGCTTTTCCGCATCTCTACCTACAGTTGAAGTTTCTTCTTCCTCTGGCAACTTGGTCAAATCCACCTTGACAGGAATATCGTCTTCTTCAACCGATGAGCTTCCAAAAGTTGATCCACTTTCAATGGGTGGTTCTTGAGGCAACGAACAATCGGAAAATTTAGAGTCATCTCTTACTGACGAATCCTCTACAGATTTTGATTCGACAGCCTTAATAAACCTGGCGGATTGTCTCCTCACAACAGACCTGAAATGACAGCAGCTAATAAGGTTTTGTGCCAATCATCTTTCAAATGAATTGTTTTTGTTCCATTAATGTAATCCCTGTATGTTATATCTGCATGATAGTTCATGACAGGCAATTGGGTCATGGACATTATACTTGCAGGATTTCTTCTACCAGCGAATGATAAAATAAAATTTCATGGGTCCCCACGCCTATTAACTACAACAAGAGCCTACCAAAATTCTGGCAAAGTATGGGCAGTAAAGTGACAACGAACTATAGTTCGACAAACGTATAGATGAGGGACAAAAACAGCTAATTTGAGACATAAGGGGCGAAAGTGATGCATGAAGAACAGAAGAGTGAGGTAAAAATTGTCCTAAGGTGCTCTTTATTTATTTATCAGAAGTATAACAAAAGGAACCTTCTATTTCCAACATTCTCCTCGGAATGCAATTGTTTGCCCAAACCTGTAAATGAACCAAGGGAAAAAAGGCTTTATTTCAAAAGCAACATTTAATACTATAAAGCAAAATATAAAAATGATTCTCACTCAGCAGCCGCGATCTTCTTTTGGTATTCCAAGGCTTTTCATCCTCCTGGCCTATAGTAGCAGTATCCCCTTCCTCTGGTAACTTGATCAAATTCACCTTTATAAGGTTAGAGCAGCAAATTGAGGTTACCGACAATACACACATGGGTGATAAATGCGTAACGCAGCAACAGAGACAAGCCAAACAGACAGAGAGAGGGTTAAATAACTGCAGTTAATGTGTCAATGTCAATATAATGCAGATAAATCACTCATGTGCATTTATCTCAGAATCCTTAGTTCTGCATTGTACCTTATAGGCTTCTCCCTGCATAAAATGAAGACCAATAATTAGGGAAAGGTAACAAAATATAACAACACTTCCTTCAGCATTCAAGAAATACACAGACCCCTTCCAGTTTTCTTGCATTCAGCAGTCCATTTTTGCATCCAAGCTCATGTTGTAACGTTTTCAACTGAAATGAAAAGGACAGAAATTTCGTTAGCTCATAAAGATTATAGGTGGAGACATACCAATATTGAAACAAAATACTCATTCTGGTCTTACTGCACTTACCCGATCTTTGCCTAAATTTAGCTCCTGCAAATTCAATAAACAAATGGGTTCACTTAATCACAATGGGAAAGCAGTGTCAAAAATCAAATTCACAAAAATGAAGATAGATGGACACAAACCCCCAGCATTTGGGTATGTGACAGGGCTAGCTGATGATTCTTTTCCTGCACTTCAATCAGATTTAACCTTAATCTCTCAAGCTCCATTCCACTCTGTTCAATGATTTTGCTTGGCAAAACAGGGTGAAGGAATTCACTTTCAAAAGTTCCAATCAGTAGCCAATTGTGTACAACCATAGGAAATCATCAAAAAAAAAAAAAAAGAGAGAAATATTTGAAGGATACTTTCTCTGCGCCAGCAACTTCACTAACGCCACATTTTCCTGATCACAGTCGCAATAAGCCAAATTAGGACAAGAAAATTTGGCGGTCAAACACAATGATGACACAACCTCTTGTTACCTTCTGGAGCTGCTCAATATATGCTTTTGTAGTTATTGGAATTGATTTCGACTTATCATCTTGAACTGATGGCTTAGGTTTCTGTGGTATGTTGCTAATGTCAGCCAGTTTTCGCCTCGCCATATTTTGTGGGTATTGTCTAGCTGCTTTCTCTGCACTTAAGATTAGATCAAAAACCAGATAACAAGTAAAAAAAATCTGTATCTCCAAAATCACCTCTTTCAGATTCTAGAGACAGGACTATAAAGGGACATAATCATAGCATAAAATCATCAACTACTGTACACGAAGCTGACTTAGAAAGTGTTCAATTTTCCCATAACAGCTCCTCGAAACCCTAATGAGCAAAAACGGAGCCTCTGAGAACTCATACAAAATTAAAACTACAAACAACATTGTCAACAAACCCTAGAAATCAGTGCGACAATCAAATTACATGAACAAAATACAGAACCAAAAGATTAACACGAGCGGCCGATAAAAAATTAGCGCACTTATGAAACAAAATGCGGTGAAAAATTACCACCGCGTGCTGCGGCGTTCAGCGTATCGAAAATCAGCAGACCTTCCGCCTTCGACATCAATGTCGGCTCTCGAAGCTCTCCTTCTCTCTCCAAAAAGTTGGACCAGCAGCTTTCTCTCTCTACCCTCGCTCGTATGGGAGCTGTGAAAATTGAAATATTGAAATGAGAGGGAAGAAGATATGAGAATCAGCAGGACTTTCCGAAGCAAATACCGAACCTACTTACAACCAACAACAGAAAAGGGCGCTTTATAGAACGGCCCACTTCGATTTTAGCCCAAATTTTAGTACATTAGAAAGCCCCAAGCCCAAAGTCCATTCTACATGAGCTAAATAATTAATTTAATTTTTATTTTATTTTCTATTTGCTATATTACTTTTATTTTAATCCCCTTTTAATTTAATTATTTTTTTTAAGGTTTCCCAAGCATCTCAACCCTTGAAGTATTAAATCATGTTACTTTATTAAGAGCTATAATGACTAAACTATATATAAGTTGATGTGATGTGTAATATTATTTAATTATATTGATGATATTAAGAATAAATGAAGTTGGTTATAGTTGAACTGAATTTGCGATTTGATTGATTTTTTTTTTAGTTGAATCCATAAACAATCACCTCCTAAAATATTAACACCCAAACAGGACCCACCTCCGGGTCTTGGGTCAGGCCAAATAAACACCAATTACTACTCATTTATCTATAAAATTTACTATGTATCAAACCATGTGTTCATAATTACAATTTTTTTTTATCATTAGTTCATTTTTCTATTAAATGATAATTACTTATTTTTGTATCATATCACTATACACTAAAATAATCATTCATTCTTTCACTACATTTTCATCAATAATAAGATAATTTCACAAAGTAAATCCATTCATGAATCCAAATTTTTATTATTTATAATTGTTGTTATTACTATATTATAAATATAATAGATTATTGAGTAACTTTAGCCCAAAATAAGGTATATTGACTTGTTCTTGTTAACCAAAAGAGTCAGCAGTCAATATCCAGATAAAATTACTCATCAGAAAATTATTATATGAAAATAAAATGTCGAGCAGCCTTTGCCTTTTTCGACTTTATATTCTTTTTTCTCCTTTCTACAAAAGTGTTCAGGAAAAATATTCTTTTTCCCTTTACAAGGTTCAACTGGATATATATATATTTTCAATTACATTGATGATTGATCTATTCAGCAAATAGAAGAGTACACTATTTATATATCTTATTTTTTGGTTTTATCTACTCACAATTTTCAATATAACTTTTAAGAGTAATGTTACAGAGCTAATTCGAATGATAACTCAGGTTACAACTCAAATGTAAATATATTATTTTTTATTTTTTTTTTATAATACATTTACACTTGGTTGTAAGTTATAACTCAAGTTCATCTAAATAGCATTACTCAACTTTTAATTAAAATTTAATTAATGAAATGTACTATTTACAACTGTAGCTCCGCCAATTTTGGCTGTGGTTGGGGCTGAGATGGGCTATTCTACTTCCCTCCTTTCTCCAGATATCCTCTGTTTTTGGATCGTCTCGGTTGCAGTTGCAGAGTTGTGCTGGGGTCGGGTCTTGTAGGCTGGGCCCTGGTCGTCAGGGTTGGGATGGTGGAATTTTGTTTTGTTTCTCCGATCACGGGTCTACGGTCGGCTACCCGGGCGGGGCTGGATCTTTGTCTCGATCCAGTTAGGCGTTTATTCTGCAGTTTCTGACTTTGCGACTTGGACCAAGTCTCTATCTGTGTGGGTTGTTGTCCGTGCGTGTCGACGTCGTTTTTGTTCGATTTGGTATCGCTGTTATGGGAAGGTCTTTAGTTTATTTATTTTTATGTTTTTGTTCTTGTGTTTGTATTGTGGCGTGAGTGTGCGTTTTGTGGTTTTTTCTCCGCTTTTGGAGTGCTTTTTCTCCTGTTTGGGAGTTTGTATTCTTCTGTTGAGTAGTGTGTATTCTTCCATCGGGAAGCTTTTGTGTTTTGTACTGTTGTGTTGTGGATTCTAGGTTACCTTTGGTAGACCTCCCCTATTTAGCTACTGAGTCGATTGTAATTATGTGTTGTCGTAATGAATTCTATCGTTTCAAGAAAAAAAATATACTATTTAATTACATTCATATATCTTAAATTTTTAAGTATTAATCAACTTATTAATTTTGTTAAACCATTAATTATAATTTATATCTACTTACTTCCTTTCGCCAATAATTTCTTTCATCAGATGAAAAGTATCAAATTCCTTTTATTTGTGGGTAATCTCTTTCACAAATTTATTTAAGGTCCAACATCTTCTCAAGCATAACTTATAATTCATAGTTTTCATGCAAATTTAATTTTTTTTTAGAAAGATAGTAAAAAACTACATTTTATTATGAGATCTTTTACGAATAAACATAACGTAAACAGACATCTTGAAAAAATTGAGGTCATGAAATCGTGTAAGCATATTTATTTAGCAAGATAGGAATGTGGAGAGCGTGGGAGCTCTTGCATGGGAAGAAAGAAAATTAATTTTTCATGTCCCTCCATGTTTGTAAGTATCGAAATATTTATTTTTGACGAGGAATTTAAAAATAATATATTGAAGATATAATTTTGCAAGCAAAAGAAAATTGAAAGTGAAGATTTGATCTTTTATATATTTATTTATAATTATATAATGTCGATTTATATGTATATATCATGAGATATTGTGTAGTTTTACGTGTTTATATTTTGTAGGAAAAGGACGTGCGCATAGAAGTAATCAAATGCTTGGAAAAAAAAAATGAAGAAAGAGATCGAAGCAATATTCACTTACCATGTTTCTAAGTCTTGCTTGGAAGAAAGTTATCTTAGAAGGAAAATGAGTAGCTACTTGTGAAGTTATCTTAGAAGGTTGCTAAGAGTTTTAGAGTTCAATCAATATTTGATCATTCAATATTTGATAGTTCAAGATTTTATTCTTAGATTTATTCCGATAATCAGTGATTCAGTGTTCTTACACCATCGAAGAACGAAGTGTTTTTTTTACTGATTTTCCATATTTTCTTTCAGACATTCTTTGTAGTACTTTGGGATTAAGTGTTGCTTTGCTCGAGAGATTCGAGTTCGTAAAAGTTTATAGGATGTGGCCAGAGAAGTAATTGGTAGGATCGAGCATAGTGTTGGCTATGCTAGAAAGAGGTATAGTTGTATAAGTCCAAGTTGTACGGCCGTGCACAATCGATCTATTAATGAAAGATTTCTGAGGGGTAGAAGGATGCTCCCCGAAGAGTTTTTCTCTTGTTTGCGCTCCCGCAAAATTACTTATCTTGGTGTTGCAACACAGTTTAATAATTCAGAATTTATGTGTTCTAACACAGTTTTAGCGCACTCGTTTTCCTAGCTAACTAGTTTTTATTTGGT